AGTCCAGGACTCATTCCTTTGGGAGCAAGAGTATCTCTGTGAATCACTGCACTGCGCCTGTAAACTTTGGAATTATCGAGACATGCTGCGAACACCATCGGTGCATATTCCAAAACAATTCATCCACTCTATGTTTGCTTCATTAATAAAATCGTTTAAAATATCAAACAACGCGAGTGCTGTTGTTTTGAGTTCTATAGGTTTGCAGAAAAGTAGTTCTTCTACTGGAGATATACCAGCACAAAATCGGACATAAGCAATTAAATGAGCCGTCTTTATTGCTATCTGTTACCTCGTCAAGCTGAGTCGAAAACAATTTGTCACGAGACTTTTCAAGAAGCTGATGCTGTACATCTTCGATGATATCACCAGGTCCGCGTGCAACAGTATCATTTGAAAGAGGTATGGATTGCAATTGTTTGGCAAAATTATCTCCAAACATAGTTTCTACAATCTCCATCGCAACTGACAGAATGAAGTATCAACCAATAGTGTGAGCCTTATTGCATCTGGCTGTTTTATATGATACTTGATACTTTAAGAGATAAGTAAAGCTTTTTCGTTCACAAAGTTTTTTTGAAGAATGTCGTTAGCTGTTCATATGACTTTATTTATATTTAATCTAAATTCAAAGAATTCTCAAAGTTTGTTAACGTTCTCATTATGAAGGGTGTCAAAATGGAGTCAAAAGTTTATTAGGTGTCTTGCTGTCTGCTGCCAAATTTTTTAAGAAAATGACGCACATAGGATTTTCTTCTTCATTTATTGTAGTAGTTGTAAATCCAAAATTTAGGTATTTTTGCGAATATTTTCTTGGCTTTTTATAATAATAATCTAATAAATATCTTATTATAAGGAAATGCGGCACAATTCCACAAAACTTACAAAATTTGGCACCATGACTCGGCTAAAACTGACGGTAACCTTTAACAGCCGTAACATTTATACACACCTGCTTCGATGTCGAGCAGATTTTTTATAATATTTCAAACAAATCGCAGTCAAAACTTCTCGTACGTAAGGTAGCCGCGATGATGTTCGATATACGTCGTAATGACGAGATAGCAGATGAGACATATTAGGCTAGCACTGTATGTGACCGGGAGACGTTAGTTTACCTATATGGGATGTAGCGGAACGGCATTGCTAAGATTCAACAAATTCACCTCTTTTCGGTAATTTTGAAGACCTGTAATTAAATTCTATATTAGGAATCTATGATAAAGTCTAGGGCACTCAAAACACGCTGGACTAAGGGGATGAGTAGGATCAAAATTTTTAACGTTTTATATACGTCGTATTTTATTATTGTATGAAAAAGAAATGTTGAGACACGCTGCATTGGATGTATCTTTTACAACAAAGTTATTCCAATTTTTTACTTGAATAATAAAAAATTCACGCACATTTAAGATTTAAGGTCTAATATATTTTTCTGCTAATTAAATAATTTTTAGGAGTAATATTTATAAAAATATTAATTTTGTAATTATCATGTAAATATGGTAGTTGTAAGCTTTATAATAAAAATTTCTAGGTTAAAAACGTTATCTTTCTCTCAAAAACTTGTAAATGTTACATACAGAGACTCTTCATGCACTTGTGTCTTCAATCATTTAAACAATATTTAAGTAAACTCAGTTTTTACAAAAATTCTGAGACCGGCGTGGTTTTTCCATTTTTGCCATTTTTATATTCAAATATATCTACAGGTTGTAAGTTTTACTCCTAATATATAAATAATTTTTCTGTATATAGTACCTATATAAATTTTTGGTAGGATAATCGTTAATACTCATGACAACCACTCAAATAACACTTTGAAATAGATAATATATAATGCCAGCTATTAAATCTTATTCAAAAACTTAATTACAATTGAAAATATATATACTTAAATTTATCCAGATATAAAATTACAAAGTATTTCGTGAAAACATCTACACGAAACACGTTACTTAAAATCTAATAAAACTTATGGCTGACGTTTCCGTGAAAGACAATATATAATTTGAGTAATTTTCTCTTTGTAACACCACACAAATTTATTATCTAATAAAAACACAATATAGTTGAAAAAGATATTCACAATACATACTACTTAAACTAAGATATTTACAAGTCTAATTATCTAAACACTGACTAGAAGTTTGTATCACCGTTTAAGGAATGTTATATTCAAGAAACTGCTTATGTGCAGGGAGGCTAAAGAGAAGTGGAATTATGATCACTTTATTAACATACCGTTAACAATAAAAAGTGTTCAACAGAACTGTATTATACTTTATTAAACAAAGAATCTTCCTCACACTTTTAAAATTCAAGATGTACTCCGATAAACGGTCACCACGTTTTTCATTGGATATTGTAGTTTGTTGTTAAAGATTCATGGCTTGGTAAGTAATTTGTTGGTGATTGCTCTACCGATCATTTTAACGATATTATGTCTTCTGTTATATTTTCATCTACTACCATTTATTGCTCACTCTGATCAAATATTTACTCAAAATATATAAGGTTAACCTTATTCCATCATTTTAACAGTTTAAATAGTTTACAGTTTAACAGTTTAAGCATCAGAGTATATTCCGAATACGTGGGAGACTTATTTCCCTGCTCGAAACTATGTTAAGGAGATATCTAGAATCTCTATCAGCTTAAATTTTTCTCTTGCACTTTGCATCAGTACCAGTGTCATTCAACATCAAACTTAAATATTTTTATTCGTGAAAGAAGTATTTACTTTTGACTCTTTTGGATGTTAGCTGATTTAATTTGAAAAAATGTAAAAAAATATATTATGTTGAACCTCCACGATGTCTTCTACACACCTTAACAACAAAAAATACGTCAAGACATACTCCTACTGAGACGATCGCTTTCCTTTTGAGGTATCTCATTCCAAACTACTGGCATCTCATTCAAAAAATACAGAACGATTTCCAAAGTGGAAATCAAAAGGTCAAAAATAAACTTATTTTTAACTTAAATTGTGCCTTATTCCCAACAAAAATTTTAACTGTATTTTCCAAGTATTTCAATTGTAGAATCGCTACTGGTGTTGTTTATTTTAGACATCAACTAAATATCTTACCTTTTACATATCACTTTTAGAACAAACAAAAAAATATATGATAACGAATAAAAAAGCGATAATAATTCCAATTTTTAACCTCTGCCAGAAGCTACTAAATTAATACAAAACACTTAAAATGTCGATGTCATTATGGCACGCCATTAGGATAATATTACAAGTTTCTTAAAAACTATAATTTAATCTAAAATTACAACAGGTATATTTCGGGGTAATAATACTTAATTAAAAATATATAACAACTAATAAGAGATCATTTTTATAAGTTCAGATAAATATTTTTAGGCATAATTGTGTATAGAAGAAAACAGCTGCATCAAAAGTGAGTAAGCGATTTCACTCATTCAACATGCTATTAACATATTCGAGGACATAAAAAAATCCGATCTCTTTTTATAAATATCCCAGAAAAAAGAAACTTTGGTTTTCATAATAAATGCTTTAGAATGGATTTTCATATTTTTTTAGATTCGTAGTGACGTAATCGTTAATTTTTTTAAATAGAAATCGGTATAATGCGACACCTCATTTGAAGGAGAATTTAATTCTCTATTTAACATTACATTTGTAACTAAAATATTTTTTTAAGGGTACAAAAACAATTTTTTTTTTAATTTAAATTCAACTAAATTAGAACTAATGATTTAATTAATCATGTACTTTAAAGTAACCAAATTATGCATAACAATTATTTTAAATTAAATGTTCGAAATAGATTCTGAAAAAATGTTCTGAAGTAAATACTTAAGAAAGCAAAAAAAATAGTAAAAATGAAAATAAAAAAAAAACACTGAAACTTTTTGTCAAATGTTAATTCAAGCACGTGATAGTGGCATAGTTACTGTAATATTTATTGACGTAAATGTTTGATTTTGTGAATTGTCATCAGTTGTTAATTGTAATTTTTACTTTTGAATACTAAATTATGGCTCACCTAAATGAAACACAACGCATAGAAATATTAATTATTAGCGGATGCGGAGATAAAAAAAGAACTCAGAACGAAATATGCTATTTATTCAACGCAAAATATCCAGACAGACCCATCAGCCAATCAACAGTAAGTAAAATAGTCCGAAAATTTGGAAAAACTGGGCACGTTAAACATAGTCCAAACGCTGGGCGTCCTAAAATTGAAGACAATGTGAAACTTGATATTTTATTAAATGTACATGACAATCCTCACAGTAGTTCAACACAAATGGGTGAATATGCTGGAGTTTTCCAACGATCGGTATTACGTATTTTAAAAACTCTATATTGTAATAATTCAGTAGCTGTCAATAAAACTATATTTTATTCTACGACTTCAACATTTATTTATCATCGTCGATCGAGAAGAAGCGGGCACAGGGCATTAGAAACCATTCGAAATATAATTACATTCGAATTGTCCAAAATGATGAGCAGAATTTTTAGAGATACTGAAGAAAAGAATGCATATAGAAGGGGAATCAATTCCGAGATAACAGATCGTTTAAGGAGCCTACGATAGCCGAAGCAGCCAAGCAGCACTATTAAGATGGTTTAGATATTTACAAAAAATGAACGAGAAAAGAGTACCTAAGATATTGATTAAGCATAGAGATAGGAGATAGAATAAAAAGGGTCGACCAAGAAAAAGATATTTACAGGAGAAAAAACTAAGAACCACAAATACTGAAGAGAAACTGTCAAGCTTTGACCTAAAAGACTAAAAGGATTTATTTTTAATTTTGACTATGTTTAATTGGTCCACATATCTCTTGTCAAGACCATATTTCATTAAATATTTTCTGTTTCCCGTTTTTTTTTAATTTTATAAGATACTTTTTTATTCACATACGCGATATTCACCTTTTTATTCTACAGAACTGAGAGTATCAAATAAAAGAACCCAAGTAGATTGTTAAAAGAAAAACTAAATGAAATACATAAATTTTATTTATATATTACGTGCTTATCTGCGTCTTCTACAATTTCTAATCTGCGTTTATACATAAGATTCTCTTTGTCTTTCTCTTTCTTCACAAAAGATGTAAAGATCATTTGATCAAAAAGGTACTCTCCTACTTTTGTGTCGGTTATTTTAGACCGAGTAACAAGTCTTGCCATTTCGCATATCGACCTATGTTGTTCCTCCATAAACTCAGTTGAGACTAAATCCATGATATGAAGATCCTTATGCTTTTCGGCTACATTGAAAACCTCATTTAGTTTTTCTTTTATACCCTGTTCCATTTGAACAGCGCGAGTAAAAGCTTCAGTAACCGTCCAAGTTTTGTTTTTTGGCACAGAAATACTTTTTAGTTGTACATGACCTCCTCTCATAAGCACATAATTGGTAAATATGTTAGCGTGGCCCAGTTCCTCTTCGTACATGTTCATAAAAAAGCCTTGGCATCCTGGTAAAGCAACGTCTGTTCGTCCAAAGTAATGACCCATTGTAAGATATTCATAAGCTGCCTTAAATTCTTCTAACACTTGTTCATTAAGTATATTCTCAGTATCCTTATGAAACTGATGTCTTCCAGAAATGTTATTTTTATTTCCTCCATCGCAAGAATTTGTCATAAAACGCTTACTGATGTAGTAGGAATTTTCGACTGGAATAATTTGTGATATAATATTTGCAGATAATTTGTGGACAATCGAATTTACTTTTAACTTTTGATTTATAGAACTTCCGTAGAGGTCAGCATTTTTTAGTACTTTAAATCTTCTGCAAATAAACTTCATCTTATATACATGTAATTTCCAGAACAATTTTGAAAAAAAAACTGTTTCAAATATTAATACATATGACGTTTATTTAATCAAATAAATAAAATTTGACATAAGTTAAATTCAAAGAAGAAGTAGGTTAAAAATTTTCTGGACGTTTTACACGGAAAATGAAGTACGAGACAAATCTTAGACAGGTATTGTGATGATTTTAAAAATAAAAAAATCTAATAGGTATTTAGTTATTTTTGGCATTATCCAATAAATTTTGAATATAATATAATTGGCGTAATTATAAATTATCTAATGCTTCTAAAGAAGGTAGAGATTTAACTAGAAAAACTAGTCCGAACGTCGATCATCCAAACGACCGCTTATTCGAGAGAATTTAAAGACGAGCATAAGTAACTTTATGTCACAGCTTGATTTTTCTGACGGACCCACAAGTCGTAAAACGATGAAACTTGCCTCAAAAATAGATTTAGATGATGTTGTATATAATTGGTTTCCTCAAAAAAGATTCTAGGGAGAACCTATTTCTGATCTGATTGTGTTTCTGATTGAAAAAGGCAGTTTAATTCAACGAAAAACCCGAAGAGCTGTCAAATTGTCAAGCAAGCACAACCTGGTTAAAGCGATTAAGTCGAGACATGGCACCATGTAAGCTTGAATAATAGGATAAAACTGTGCTGATTCATCAGCAGCAGATTAATGTCTGAATAAATGAGAGTTACTGAAGTAAAAATGAAAGAGTTTTCGTGGAAACGAAAACGAGTTTGTTCCACGAGAAGGACTCGTGCAGCACGTATGACTGAGCAGCACCTGGACCTAAAATAAGCAAGGATCGTATCACTGAATTAGTTTGTGCTAATGATACTGGCAGTCACTTATTGCCAATGTTTGTCATTGGTAAAAGCAAGAAACCACGTTGTTTTAAACACGTTGATATGTCTGCGATATCTACGTTTACACTTTGCTTTGTTGAGAAAACATTATTGCTTCATGATAACGCTCCAACTCTTCGATGTTGAAATGAAAAAAAAACCTGTCCTTAAAAAGCAACGTGACCAAATTGTTCGTAAAAGGCTAAACTTGCTTCGATAGCGTTACCAATTAGCGTTACCAATTAAAAAATCTTCAATTTTCGTCAATATGTAGAAGTAGAGTAAAGAAGGCTGAAATAACATTTTTGGCTGCCTTTGGCCTGAAATATTTTCCCAGCAGGCTACATTAAATTCCATTTCCGTTTTTGGGCATCTTCCATTCTGCAGCATTTTTGTTTACCGCAGAATTGCTCTGCTCTGATAAAAGGGTATTAGTCTGTTGCTAAGGAATTGCTAGAAATTCCAAACTGTTACGAAGTCATAAGGTGTAGACTTCAAAGTTTCCAGTTTGGCTGTATAAGGCACTAAATATTAGCCGAATTTATATCGCCGAATTAAGACCTTTTTTTAGAAACTCTTGAGCACAAAAACGTATTTCTCTAGCAATGCTGCTTGAAATACTGTAGGAGTATTTCAGCGGACTATTGACAGTTTACTGTTAGAACCAGTAACCCCCGATTTCTATCCCCTTCTGTATTTTTGATCCATTAATATAATATTTGAAGGACCCTTTTGTGATTTGAGGATTTCATTTTATGTTAACTCACATGCGTTTATAATGACATATAGTTTCGAGTTCGAAATATTGTTTGCAGGCATACTGTCTCTGAGTAACTAATGTAACTTTGTTCCAATTCTTAAAGTTTCCAGATGTACAATCAGGTTGCCGGATTTTAGATACTAAGCCCGTGTTAACCCCTAGAAGAGGAAGATCTAGCATTACCTCTAAGGCTATAGTGGGGTACGATTTCATGGCATCTGTGATTTTTTCGCAGTGAGATCTTATTGAATACTTTACAAAGACGCCGTCGAGTGAATGCTGAGCTTCCCATGTTTACAGCGGTAGGAGGAGTCCTGTCACTCGTGAAATACGTTATTCGTGTACAACCACCTCGAACCCTTCATAATTGATGTAGGTGTATTTGCTATATAGAGATATGACCAAAATTTTTCTCGTTTTACTCATAATTACAAGATTAATAATAAAGTTTTGCTGTAGTAATTGGGTATGAGGGAATGTATGGTATTAATAAACGGAATCACATGGTATATTACTTGTTCAATAGAGATTTTTGCTCACTTAGAGACAATGCTCCTTTTAACATCTATATTCCAAACATCCAATAGGAACTAATTTACAACAACATAAACCTTTTGCTTATCATGAGCAGTAGATTTGTAGATTTTGAAAATAAATCATATGTATAGAGGTTCAATCAGTACTTCGAGTATTTAGTTATAAACGAACTAATACACAACATGTAAGAGAACAGTAAACAGTATATTAAATTAATTTTCTCAATTAGAAGGACTTTTCGTGTTTCGTCATAGAATGTATTAGTGTCAGATTTGTACAATTTCAATTGTACATAGTTTATTTACAGTTAACATGGTTTAAGCCTTAAAAAGAATTAACTTATTCTAGCATTAATAATGAAAGCCAAAGTTTTTAATTAACAATGAATTAAAGGTAAAAATTTGTTTTGTCTTATCTCATAAATCCCACTTTTTGTCTAGAAACATCTTAAAGTAGTAATTATAATGATGGAAAAAAATTAGTCCTCGGCCATTAAATGAATACTGTCTTCAGCAGTCGTTCGAAGGGTATTTGGTGTTAATAAAGAAAACCGATCCTGGTAATGATGAGATTTTGAGGAATAGGATTTCAAAGGAGACGTATCGTTTCCATCCCAGCTTGAATGTTTTGGTTTTAATTCTGCAGACTTTGATTCTTTGGCCTAGTTAAAAATATAATGTTTATATTATAGTTATACAGTATATTACAACATAAAAATAACGAAAGCAGGATTACATATATATATATATATATATATATATATATATATATATATATATATATATATATATATATATATATATATATATATATATATGGGAAATACGAGATCTACTGAATTTAATAAAGAAATGGATATGTCCGGACTACCTGCATGATTTTAAAAATGAAAACAGAGGAAGAGAAACGTAAGCAAGAAAAGAGAGAGAGAGAGAGAGAGAGAGATGAGAGAGAGAGAGAGAGAGAGAGAGAGAGGAAAATGAGAAGCGTAGAGAGGTGAAACAAAAGCGTAGACAAGAAGAGAATGAGTAGAAAGGGAGGTCTAGAAAAATAAAGGTAGAAATCATAACGAGTTTATCTGAAATTCACGAAAATTTTCAGTTATAGGTAATGCCAATTACTAGTAGAAGTGACAAATTAGAAGAATAACAGAACGATATAAAAACCGATTTAGAAAATTAATTAATACATCACACGATTTCAAACAGCAAAATAATTTGAAATCTTGTTGTTCTAATTTGATTTAGAAAGAAAAATGAATATCCAAGCTTCTTTATCTAATATATTGTTTCAGTAACTAATGTCGAATCTAAACAAACAGCTTCATCATCTTCCATAGTTGAACCAGGTACAATTAGAACTAGCAAAATTTTAAAACCACCCACATCCGATAGCCAAACAGCATGAGAAACTTATCGTTTTTAATTCGAAGCTGCAGCTGGAGCAAATGGCTGGACTGAGTAACAAATAGCAGCTTCCTTGATAGTGTTGCTTCGAGGACAGGCAGCTACCGTCTTGCAATTTCTTCCACAGGATGCACCCAGTTATACCTCGCTTCTTCAAGCTTTACAGGCAAGGTATGGCTAGCAGCATCTAACGCAGTTTTTCCAAAGCCAGCTGAAAGTTTGATACCAAAAGCATCACAAAAGCCTGCAAGAATTTAAACCCGAAAGTAAAAGATTGTTGCATTTGGCATACCCTCGTGCACCTAAAGATTTTCTGGAACAAATTGGCATACAGACATTCATAGATGGACTACAGGATGGTGAAATGCAACAAGCTCTTCTACTACAGCATCATCAAATGCTAAATGGAGCACTAATCTTAGTCCAGGTGTATGAAGCGGGAAAGGTATTTCCAGATCTCGCTCAAGATTAAAAGAAATAAGTTTTCGAGAAAATAAAGAAGTCATTACCGCAGATAACCAACAACCTATTTTATCCCAGATGTTGAGCATACTGCAGAATCTTCAACACAACTGGAGGAATCACTTTAAGTGGCAGAAAAATCAGTAACCTGCAATACGCAGATGGAACACTATTCGAAGCGAATGAAGTCAATATCGAAAAAACAAAAATATTAATAGTAGACAGGGCAAACAATAATCTACCGCACATAAACCAGGTGGCGAATTGCGAAGTAGGTTCTATACTTGAGCTTCTTGATAACCAACAATTGCGATAGCTCCTCAAAAATCAGAAGTAGACTAGCAATGACCCGAGCCGCAATATCCAAATTAATTAAAATATGGAAAGACCGAACAAGGAATGCGAAGCTCTTTTGGTCAATACCCTTATTTTTCCGATGGCTACATACGCAACTGAACATTGGACTCTTAAAAAAATCGATAGAAGTAAGATCGAAGCCTTTGAAATGTGGGTCTACAGAAGATTTATACGCGTGTCCTGGACAGAATACAGAGCCAACCTGTCAAGTAAGAACTTGCCTAATTTAGTTCGGCCAATAGCTACAAGAACTAGGACCAAGGAACACCAGCACTGACAATATTTACTATTTTTATTTGGAATTGACTACAATTTCAGTTTAAAATAAGTTTATTTTGACGTTTCGATTTTCAAACGTCAAAATAAACATATTTAAATTGTAAAAAAGATGAAAAACAATATTGAAAGAATTATGAAAATTACATAAATACAGGTAAAGAACGAACGCGACATAAATTAACACAGAAAATTAAAAAAATTATAAAAAAGGAATAGGAAAAGCAAGGATACAGACAATATAGATCTGGAGATGAATTAAGTGGTTAGAAAAAGTAGGTAAAAGATAGCTGCTAAAAATAATAGAGGGAGCACAGACAACCGATAGTATACAAAGAGGGATACTATAGTAAGTTAAGTTTTGGATTAGATATTGTACACTACATAAAGCGCTAAAATCGGCAGCATTGA